AAAGAAACCTAGGTTTACTTTTATTTTTGTCCACCCCTAAGTCATACATGGGGACAGTCGATATATGTACTTTAAGAATGAATCTAACATTGATCTCAAAACTATCGCATGATACAGATGCGCTAAACATAACCACAGATTAACAGTGTCTGATTTATTCATTTCCAACTTCATGTGAAAATATTCACAAAGACTGCAACAGTACGAGAAACTAAAGAGGAAATCTTGTGCCAAAATCCATTTGGAATTTCTATCGTCATTGTCCATCATTTGATTCATTGAACCAGAGTAGGTAGGGAAAAACCTCAACTCAGTCACTGCCTCTAACTTGGAACACAGGAACTACACTGCCTGGAAAACCAAGCCCTTTTTTGCCCAGAAATCATCTGAACCAGCTAGAGTTGAGGTCTGTGAGATACTATCACCCCACAGTATCCTTTGGCTCCTTGCATTTACATGCATTTTAGAGACTACAGGTTTCAATTTTTAGTACTGCTGCAGATTAAGGAGGGAGGGGGACTCTTGCACCCTTGGATATACAGTTGCCAGAGAGAAAGCCTTGCAAATGGGTGGAGAGTGGAGGGTCCCTGGGTTGTTGCATATGCAGGAGAGTATACAACACTTGCACGAAGAACATTCATCTGACTCTAGCAAAGCCAGATAATCTAAGAATTGGAGCAGAAGATTCCCATGCCTTAGTCTAGCAGGCACTGGAATTGACACAAGGTATTTAAGAGGCCACCTCACTTTAGGTATTGATCTGAAAGGAACTGAGCTCCCTTATGGGCAGGGAGGAGGGCCACAGGCATATGAAACTCTCTGGTAAGAGTTATTAAGAGGATGGGTTATGTAGGAGAAAGACCTGGCTTTCAATCCTAGGTCTGTTACTGAGCAGCTGTGGCATCCTGGGAAAATTAATCATTTGGAACCTCAGTTTTCTCATATGTAAGGTGGAGACAGATAGGTAAGAATGGTAAGAAATAAGATAACAAATGTGTTGTACTGAGCACTCTGTCTTGCACAAAGAAGTGTTTAAATAATCTTTCACTTTTTATTTCAAAATACTAAGGGGCTACAAATGTTTTTGATAGGTGGATAATTTTTATAAAGCTTGGGTCAGGGCCATTAGTATGCCCATCACCCAAATAGTGCTCATTGTACTCGTCAGGTAGCTTTTACCC